TACTCGGATAGCCATCGTAGCCATACTGTACAAACACTTCAGCACCTCGATATACTGACAGTCAACTTGGCACCGCTGAAAGGACTGTAGCACCGCCCAAACTTCGACGGAATTTTTCTAATTTTTGGTACCGGCTTGTTCGAGAGGCTGGAAGTCGTCGAGTCTGCGTGCGAGACGGTTCGTAATGTCTCTCGAAAACAGCACGTTGACGCGGCTCAGAAGGGAAATCGGTCTGTAGTTCTTCAAGAGAGCGTTGTCGCCTTTCTTAAAGAACAAGACCACCGTGCTTCTGCTCCACGCCTCCGGAGTAGTGCCACCATGGAGGACGGAATTGAAGAGCTTCTGAAGGACTTTAAGTACCGGTGTTCTACCCGCTTTCAGAAGCTCCGCTGTAATTCCATCCTCGCCCGGGGCCTTGCCGTTTTTAAGGTGGTGAAGAGCCATTCTAATCTCGCTCAGACTGACGTCCGGGATGTGATCGGAATAGTGTCGGATAAGACTTGCTCTTGGATCGTTACTCACACTTGCGTGTGGCTCCAACTATGATGTGTACAGCTACCCATAGAACCTGTCAATCTCACTCAGAATCTCAGGTGTCTCGAAAACGATATTGCCATCGACGTACTGGGTGTTATTTCCATACAAGACTTAAAGCTCAATACGCTATATTCACTACACCGAACGTTAACAAATTACGAGAAAATATTAAAATTTTTGCACGATTATAATATTAACGACCTCAAACGTCACAAGGTCAATAACGCAATGTTTCGTTAGTCAAATACTGATAATATTAAAGGTTCCGTGACACGTATTAATCACATACTCATTGTTCCGTCGGCCTTATCAAAAATTGATAATACTAAAAGTTTGGTGACTCGTGTTAATCACAAAGGCATTGTGTTATCTTAAAGTTGTATTGATTTTAAACCACTTGTGGCAAATTTCGAATATTGGACGCTTATATTCAAAGCTTTTGCTATGATTGATCACAATCCCACCTATAGTATCACGTGCTTTAGCCGTAGATGGATCTCACTGTATTAGCGTAACAAAAACCAGTTCACTCTTGCCTTAAAGATGCCTATATTATTTTATTCGAATGGAAAGACAGACACCGGTAAATTAATACATTTTTGTTTTAAAAGAAAAAGCGTTTTGTTCCAATTCGTTAAAAATTGGTTTATTACAATGTATGTGAAATAGAGATAAACTTCACATAAATACGAAAATTTATTCCAATAATTCAATATTTAAAATTAATATACAGCCACTATCATACCTTTTGCCATAACCCTTTGAAAAATATAAAGAGAGGATACAAAAATTATGAGTTAATTAAGGTTAAAAAAATCTAAAAGTAACCTGGCAAATTATTAATAATATAACAAACACACAAACGTCAATATACTTCTCATGGTGAAAGTTACAAGGAGACTGACACCAGTCCCCGGCGGCCCCACTATTCCTAGCTACGGTGGCGACCATGTTAACGGCGAAACAGGGGTGCTAAGTATCTCCAGTGTAGGTTTAGTTACCACCTGATATGACTCAACTTGGAAACATACAATGCACGCATCTTAAGGGGAAATATAACCTCAAATGGCTTAGCAAGATCCTCCGTTATGCCGAAAGTATTACAGCATTAATTTTGAAATAAATATATGGTAAAGTAGAGGATTAATGTTAAGGTTTATGTTAGACGAAAACACGATTCCGTAAAATTTTCTCGATAGAAAAAAAAACCAAAGTTACCTCCAAACTGAACAATAAACCGCTGTTATTCATAAAATACTTTAAATAAGATCATGAAACTTTGCATACTAACTGAACTATCCATACAGCAGTGCTTATCTTATTTACTTTTTTTAAAATATCATTATTTTCACTGTAAAAAAGAAATTACCTAAACTATCGGCGCGTAAGCTTGGTTCCTGCGGAGCGACAGGAACTATTGTAATATTGTAACTATACTAGTGAACTATTTCTTCTGGAAACGGGTCCACTGAAAGTGGATCTGGCGGAGCCCCGAAGATTCGACGAAAAATAAGATGGACCTTCAACTATGCAACTGTATAGTGATATCTCAGTGATCGCGAAGGTGAAAACTGGCTGCGATCACTGAATGGTAAGAAGGAACACTGAAAATAAAAGGTAAGTTAGAGAAGTCAAATCTAATGAAGTGCTCTGATCTAAAGCCCCGAAAACTTTCGGCTCGAATTACAAAATTGTTTTCTGTGCCTATAAGGCTGCAATACAGTGGACGATATGGATGAAAAATTCGTGGAACATATCCATGCCGTCGGTGCTAAGTTCTGCAAGACCCTTAGCAGAAGAACCCAAAATCTCTCCGACCTTACTATTAATATCTTGGATGTTAGACGTGAAATAACGCTGCAGTCTTCAGCAGATATAATAGCTGAACAGACAGATATCCAAATGCATGCGACGGGCCTAACACGACTTCAATACAGCTCGTATTGAAGAAGCGATCGAGCGGAACATAACTCCAAAATCATTTCCAGAAATCTATCTGCCAGAATGAGATCTATCTGCCAGAACGAGCCAACTGTCGAAGCTGATGACGATGCATCATTTACGGGACGCCTGAGGTTTTGAGTGACATTGAGAATTTCTACGGACGACACTGTTCCGATGACACGGCACTCTTCGAAATCTTTGGTCGCACTCTCTCAAATGTGTTAGAATGGGAGAGTGATGTTTCGTGTACTGCTTGTTGAGCTTTTTTCAGTTTCGGGAGAATAGATTTGAATGTACATTTCTAGACTAGATTGACATAGTGTCGGATGAAATATTCTAATAATGTTCGATTCAGCTACATTATGTAACCTCTTAAATATGTAAATCTGTTTACGAGTTATACTTGTAAGCATATGCTTTCAAGTGTAACTCTGTGTTTGCTATTGAAGATTGCTTTATGATCTAAATCAATGCCTAAATATTTTACAGTACTAACAGACTGCAATGTCGGACAGTTGGAGTTCTTGCTTAGGAAGCAATAGTTATGTGAAATAAATGATAGAGAAACTTGCTATATTTCCTTACTTTTTAAATATTGCATGCTTGGTTTTGTCAACATTTTATGTAACAAAAATATCATATTATAACCATTGCCTAATCAAGTTAAAGCAATTTAATTCATAGCGGAAAGATCCTTATAACTGTTAGCGCTTAGAACTACAGCAGCATCATCCTTATAACTGTTATCTCATTATAACTGTTATCCTTATTGATATCCGGTAGCGAATAAACGAAACACACATACACAGGTTTGTGCCCTGTTTAAAGAACAAGTCTTCGCACAATATTAACTACCCGAATAATCTACATGCACTCTTTGAAATTTATGGTCAAATTCCATTAATTTCCGCAGCAATAGAAAAAATCATTCTACATACTAATTTTTTTTCTAATACTGCGGACATTTTCTGCTGAACATTTTATTAAATTAAATCCACCTACTTTTAATAAGTTTTTTTTAGTCTGAATGTAGCTATCTAGTTGATGCGAGGTCATGGCTCCCACTGATCAGGTAGTTCATATAAAAATGTTTCTGCAGGTCCTTCGCTGTTTGGTTATCTTGATACTTATGAGCTTCATCTTTGGCTGTTTCAGTCCCATGGCAAGAAATGGTGCTATTCCATATGTGATAGTAGATAATTGATTTACATCTTGTAAAGTTATGATCAGTGCAATATATTCTCAATATGAATTTGCCGAAACATTTTCTATATGTCAGCAGTGTAGGTATATTGGAAGTGTTGCCAGTTGCCAGTGATAAAAGGTCCTGTTGCAGTTTGGAAGTTTTCTACGCCACGTTAAAAACTACCTGAAGCGAAGTTGTTGTTAACTCCTGTCGTTGAACGCAATGATGAGATAAATACAGACTGTAGACAGGCTGTGTGTTGCATGGTGACAATTTCATAAGGGCTAATTTTAAGTACTCGTGGATAAATGATTTGTATTCTTGTTCAATATCCTTTCAGTAAGTAAATCTTTTTTCTAACTATAAACTGAGCGATTGCTCTTGATTTCAATTTTCCCAATTTTTGATCTGCTTTGGATATAAGTGGCAATCTGACTATGAATTTACAGTTTTTTTGTCATTTTGTATTATTTTTGAAATATTCCAGACATTGAGCATCTTCTTGGTTCATAGTGAGTTCGTCAAGGTTAGGTATTTTCTATCTCCAAACACGTTGAATCTTATCTACATTGTTGATAATAACTTTGCATTGATAGGATCTTACGTTGCTACGTAAAATTCACGCGAAACCTTTTGCACAGGTTGCGATTGTTTGATGAAATGCCGTCTAATATGATAAGAATAAACGTACACCTACAGCAACATGTTTACTGAGCGGCTCACGTTGAATTCGGGATCGTCGAGGTGAATGTTTCCAAGATATGATCAGTCTGATTTGTTTAATGTCTTGTTGGGTAGATTTTCAATTAAGTTTTTCATAATAAACACATCTGATGTAAATGGATAATTGCTGTTAACAGATGAGCAAGTTATGTGAATAATACCTTTAAAGTAGTTTTTTTTGCTCCTACTCTGAAAATGACATCTTTGCCCCGTGTCGAGGAAGTTGTAACATCTATGATGCCTTCTCGGTAATCAGGGAGGTCTAGATATCCTAATCAATCAGCGCTCGAGTTTTGTTATAAGTGTCATCAACACACTGTACTTTTACTAATGCTGTTGCTAAAAGGGTTTCGTTTATATTATTTTGTGACACGTTGGTAGCATTTTTAGGTTGTTCTGTTTCTGAGGTTAAAGACTTAACGTAGGCCTCGATATGAATGTGTTGTGTCAGTCTTGACACTCGTGGCAACGTTTTTTCCATATGCAATTCTTGCCCTAGTGGTCGTAAAGACAATTGAAGCAGTATTTCAATTTCGCCATACTATTTCGCCCTTCCGTTGGTTGTTATTAGTGTAGCAGTGAAATATACCGTGGTTTTCACCGTGCTCACCATTATCGTATCTATCTGTTCTGTCAATCCTACTATCTGGGTCCTCTATTTCCTCCGTACCTTCTTCCATCAGCCACGCTACAATTTGTTGCTCCTTTTTATCCATCTACAATTTTCGTAGATCTAATTTTATTATTTCAAATTATAGTTTATACACAAACCATCACTGTTAAATTTAAATAAAATTACAAAAAAGGTAGAATATAAAATAAAAGAATTTGAAAAAAAAAATTACAAAAACAAATACTTACATAGAAATTCGCGCGATGAGCGAAACCCTGCGCATTAGAGGTGAATCGAACAAACTTTCCTCTTTGACTGACTGGATCACACCAACTCAATGCCAACATATGTTGCGGCCATCCCGCAACATATGTCTAGATCTTTAGTTGAGGATAAATGTTTAGGTCTATGGGTCACAGCATCCACTTACCATTAGGTGAACTGTGTGCTCGTTTGTCACCCGATGCTATGAAAAATAAAAGTGGATTGGCGAAAAGTGGATTGCGGAAACCCGTCTGGCTACGCTGAATGTATGTGGAGGAATGAATGAGAAGATGGATGAAGTATGCGAAATAATGAATGACAGAGGAATAGATGTGTTATGTGTGAATGAGACGAAACGAAAGGGAAAGGATGCCACTGCACATGGTACGTATACCGCGTATTGGTCTGGTGTAGGCGAGACCGAACGGGCGTGCCAGGGAGTCGGTTTCATCCTTTCAGAAAGAATGGGTCAATGTGTGAAAGAGTATGAATGTGTAAGCCCGAGACTGCTATGGATACGAATGAAAGTGGGCTTAAAGAAGCTGTTCCTGCTAGGGTAGTACGCCCCAGACATGTCTAAGCCCGCTTACATTCGAGAGCAGTTTTGGGACATGGTAAGGATGGTGTTGACAAAATGTAAGGAAAATGAAAATATTATTATGTTAGGAGACTTTAATGGAAGGGTTGGGGTGAAGAGGTCTGGTTATGAAAGGATATTGGGAACGTTTGGTGATGAAAGTATAAATGAGAATGGTGAAGACCTCCTCACCGTATGTGCGGAAAAAGAATCTTTTTGTGACGAATACTTTTTTTCGTCATAAGAAGATTCACATGTATACATGGGAAAGAGGTGATGATAGAAGCATGATAGATTTCGTAATTGTGGATGAAAGAATGAGGAGCGCAGTCGTAGATACAAGGGTTTACCGGGGGTCCAACGTAGGGACGGATCATTACTTGGTCTTATGTCGAATTAATGGTCTTTTCAAGCGTTGGCGGCATCGGACATCTGTGTCTACCACTGCGTTACAGCGTATAAGAATAGAGAAGTTACAAGATGAAGATGTGAAAGAGAAGTATAAATGTAGACTGAGAGAAAATATTAGATGTTTGAATGAGTTGTGTATGAATGATTTAGACTTGAAGACTGTGTGGGATAATATTAAGAAAGGTTTGGTGGATACCGCCACCGAAGTATGTGGTGTAAGTAAAAGAACAAATGAAAGGAAAAGTAATACGTTGTGGTGGGATGATGAGGTACGGGTGGAAGTTGAATCAAAGAAGAAAGCATGGTAAGATTTACTAGCAACCAAAGCTGGTAATTCTTCTGGTATGAATGATGAGATTGAAAGAAAAAAGGCAGAATTTAGACGTCTAAATAAGAGAGTAAAAGAAGTTGTTGAAAGGAAAAAGAAAGAAAGAATGGATAAGAATGATAGAAGGATATCTGATAATTTCCAGGCTAACATAAAAATGTTCTGGAAACTCGTAAGAACTGCCAGGGGAAATACAAAACAGCCTATAATAAATGCTATAAGAGACGAGAATGGATGTATTCTGAATGATGAAGTTTCGAATTTAAACAGATGGAAGGAATACTTTGAAAGCGTGTTTATGAGTGAAGAGTCGTATGAATTAAATGAACTAGAAATTCCGAAAGAAGTGGAAAGGGGTATGGAGATAAGTGTAGATGAAATAATGAAAGCAATGAAAAGCATGAAAGCAGGTAAGGCAGCTGGATATGATAGAGTATTACTCGAGATGCTAAGGGCTGGAGAGGGAGTGGTGGCAGGCCTGCTGTACACCTTGTTTAATTTATGTTGGGAATTAAAACGGGTACCGGATGACTGGTGTAAAGCAGTTATAGTACCAATATATAAAGGAAAAGGGTCACAGCAGGACTGCAAAAACTACCGCGGTATCAGCTTGCTTAGTATTGTGGGTAAACTGTATGCTAAGGTGTTAATTGAAAGAGTTATGAAAGAAACTGATGGAAAAATTTGGGATGTGCAAGCGGGTTTTAGAAAGGGGAATGGGGTGCACAGATCAAGTCTTTTCCATGCGCATGATTGCGGAGAAGTTTTTGGCCAAAAACCAGAAAGTTTTTTGTGCGTTCATGGACTTGGAAAAGGCTTATGAGAGAGTGGACAGGAATGTGTTATGGCAAACACTGAACTCATATGGGTTGAGCGCTGGTTTGATACAGGCATTAGGGTCTCTTTATAGGGACTCTAGTGCTTGTGTCAGGATCAATGGGGTCTACTCGGACTGGTTTGGCATCCAAAAAGGTGTCAGACAGGGCTGTGTAGCTTCCCCTTGGCTGTTCAACCTATTTATGGACCGGTGTTTGCAAACTTTGAAAGATGAAGAATGTGGTTTAAGAATGGGCGAGTTAACCGTCAAATGCCTTTTGTATGCCGATGATCAAGTCATATTTGCGTCATCAGCGGGTGAGTTGCAAATGATGGTTACATTAATGAACTGGGAATTAAAAGAAAGGGGAATGAAAGTGAACGCAAGTAAGACGAAAGTGATGGTTTTTGAAAGAGAAGAAAGCAAAACGGTATGTGAAATAAGAATAGAAGGAGAGTTAATTGAGCAAGTGGATGAGTTTGTGTATTTGGGATGTGTATTTAGCAGGGATGGTAGATATGATAGGGATATAGAACGACGAGTAAATGCAGGGAATAGAGTGAATGGGGCACTACACTCTATTATGAAGAACCAGAATGTGTCAAAACAGGCACGTATGGTAATTCATAATGCTGTGTTAGTCCCTACGTTAATGTATGGTAGTGAAAGCTGGGTGTGGCAGAAGAAGCACGAAAGTAGAATAAATGCTGTAGAAATGCGTTCTTTAAGAAATATGCTAGGGTTTAATCTGAATGACAGGGTGAGAAATTGCGTGATAAGAGATAAATGTGGTATGCAAGATGATGTTGTGACCAGGATTAAGAAAGGAATGCTTCGGTGGTTTGGTCACGTAGAAAGAATGAATGATGAAAGAGTGACAAAGCAAATTTATATGGCAGATGTGAACGGCCGAGTCGGGAAGGGACGCCCTAGAAAAAAGTTTGTCGACCAAATTGGCGATATTTTGAAAATGGGCCACGTTAGAAGTACCCTTAACCGACGAGCATGTATGCGTAGATATATGGATGTAAAGGAGGCGAAAGAGGTATGTCAGGATCGTGCCAAATGGAAGTCCATAATCTCTGCCTACCCCTCTGGGTGACAGGCGTGAGTGTTTTATGTTTATGTTTATGTTTATGAAAAATCTCAAAAACCCTCAAAGATCTTTTATTTATCAATATCTTTATCAATGACATTGTTTCCTATTTCCCTTACTCTAAAACTAAAAAGATATTTAGTTTTAAAAAGTCAATATTTTACTCTTTACAACCAAACACAGATTGATGAGCAGATTTATTGTTACCTGTTTTATTTCAATGTCCTGACTAAATTTCAGTTACGGCGAGCAGTATCAGCGATTAGGTATTTGAGCAAAAACAGATGCACTCACTATTCCCTCACTTCCATAGCCCGATACGACGGAAACTCAAAACAACCAAAGAGATATCGCGCATAGGATCAACGACTTATGGAACAATTCCGCCACACTGTTCCAGTGTGTCGACGGATTTCACATTTTGTTCTCGAAATATTCCTCAGATGTGAAGGTTTTCTCACAATTTTTTCTTTATCACCGATCACGTGGTAAATCAGCAATTAAATTAGATTTAACAGTATCATTGGTGCTAGCGTGATTGATCCTGGGTTGTTCTAAAAATTCACAAAGAGCACGTAGCCCCTGAGAAACCAAGTGCAATAATAAATGAATTGCTTTTCTTTGCTTTGAACAGGTTACGAAAATCGCCTGTTTCAGCGATTGTGATAGCATGGAAGTATTAATGTTCACAATTTCATCATGTTTGCTACTACCAACAATATTTGGAAGGGCTACGTCATTTATGAGCAATCGTCGAGCGTACTTCACATCAATCGAGAAACTTGTGTATCCGAGAGTTAATGACAAAAATTAATGACATGTGTCATACTTGTGAACAGGTGCTGCTTGTGGGGACTAGTAAACACATTTATTACCTCCAATGTTACGTATATTTTTTTTTATTTTGTTGAGTATAATTAATAGAATCAGGCGTTACTTTGCGGAAATCCATTTCAATAAAGAAATTAATTAATTCGCAACTATCCGCTTAAAAATACAATGGTGTGTCTTGCTCTTCAATCCAGGTAGGACACATCATTGTATTTTTAAGCTGATAGTTGCGAATTAATTAATGTCTTTTTTGTTGAGTACTTTGATTAAAGAGCATGCTTTGTCGTTATTTACCTATATATACCTTTTAAATTTTAATCACCTTATTAGATTTAAAAAAGGAATTAGATGATGAGAATTCATGCGGAGTTGTTGTCGCCGTTTCTTCTCTAGACATAGACGGTTATAAAACACGCTGTTGTTAGGCAAACGAAATTTTAATTTTTTACGTGCAAAAAGTTTTCATTTCATTCATATATTACTTTTTTTCCTGTGAGAAACAATTATGTTCCATTACATATAACTTCATTAATTTAAACTTTTAATTAAACTACTATTATTTCTTATGATTACGCGAACACTACATGATTTTACGGCGTATATTAACTTATTTCATATTCCCGACGTTTTGAGTACTTACTTACTGCACGTCACAAGGGGACTGATGTTTTCGATGTCTCAATGTCATAGTTAACCACGGCTACCTTCCGGTTAAAATTTTTGGTCCGATCTACGTAGTGTGAATTACACAGCATACAACTGCAATCTTAAAGTATTGC